CCTACCTCCTCTTCTGATTCTCCTGGGAGGGGGGTTAAGAAGAGAGTCGGGCCTCCTTGTCCTGCCCTGGGAACTGAGGAGCGAGGAAGTGGCTTGTGGCATGAGCACTCAGACGTAAGACATGGTATTTGCAATCGAGCTGAGCATATTGGCAGAGACTGTCATCTTTTAGCTCATTCTGCCAAAGCCTCTTTTCCTCTTTGTTCCTTGATGGTGCCCATTGCCTCCACCTCACCTGGATTCCCACTCCATGAAGCTTTCTAGGAAGCTAAGAGGAGAATGAGCATCAGAGAACGCTGATCTGTCAGAGGAAAGGCTCTACCTTTATCCAAGGCAGTAGAAAAGTGAGAGGAGGAGCATTAAAATGGACTGCTGGCAGGCAGTCCTAAGGGCTAGAGCTGTAGTTTCCCAGGAGACAGCCATCAGGGCAAGCGAGAAAGGGGGGTCTGGGAAAGAAAAGGAGAGGGAGAAAAAGGCAAGTTAGGAGGAAGAACCTGGGCAGCACAGAAGGATCTATCTTACCTACTGGGTCACTGTTTCTGTTGCTAGCACGGCCAGCAGAGAGGGATGCTGAAGCAGTGACCAACACCCTTTCCCCCTGTGGCTTCTGGACAGGAAGGAGGAAACAAATCAGGAGGTGATTTTGGAGACTTGGAAACATTCGTTAGTAGCTCAGCTCAGCTCTGGGGAAACCGGAGAGATTGAGATAGAAATTCTGGGAGCATTTGGAGTCCAGATTGTGACTTCCAAGTTAAAAGTTCAGCTTGAGGGTGGCCAAAAAATCGGGCACCCTGCCAGCCTAACAGCTTCTGGGGCTTTTTCTTCACCACATACCTTGACATCCCTCTCTAGAGAAAGGCTTCTTTCTCATCTGATACATTAAAATTAGGAGTTAAAATTTCGTCTCCAACTTTGAGTTTTAAAAACCTCATTCTTTCCTAAGCACAGATATCCAAGAGGGCTTTCAAAATGCTGCAGCCAAAATAGAATATATAAACATGTATAATAGAGCATGGGTCATAAATAGCTGACATAAGAGCAGCCAGTTGGAGGAAGTCCTAGCGGGAACCTCTAGAGGGCAAGCCATCCAGTCCTCTGCTCAAGATGGTATCAGAAGGGCTCTGACTACCTGGAAGTCTGTATTCTTCTTAGGAAGGAAATTACTCATGGCTTCCATGGTAATCTGGTTCCCATCCCCCTTAGAGGAAGGGCATTTCCTTCCTATCTAACCCAATGCCTTCCCACTGCAATGCCTGGAAGTGCTGGGCACATTAGTGAGACGTGTGCTTGGTGTGCACAGAATCTTGCCCCAGGGACTGTGCACCTCTAGCCTGTGGGGATGTGAGAGGGAAGAGAGCAGGAAATGCAGAAGGGTTTCATTCAGACTCCGGCACTTATCCTGCAGCATCTGGGGGAAAGCTAGTGCTAACCTTTCTGCTCAATTAGAGTTCATGCCCACCTGTGGGCTATACTTAGAGAACACCAGAGGTCCCCTTGTCCTCCTAAGCATCCATCCGTTACCTGCCATGGCCAGGTAACCATCACCATTAAAACTTTTCTTGGCCTCTAGTTTGTATTAGGCATTGTGCTCAGGGCCATGAGGGAATGTCAAGGTCACTGAGAAGAATGAAGGGAACATGGGAAAGAAGAGACAGATCTGGGGTAGGGACCTCTGCCCAGGAATGCAGCAGAAAGCTTATGGGGTACAAGCCAGTGAGGTTAGGGGAGCGGGTGCTTGGAAAGACACCAGTCTTAGTTTGTGGGTAAGTTCTTTGGTAAGCCACATATAAAATTGAAATAATAACATCAACTTTACAGAATTTGGGAAATAAACAAGAGCAACTCTGAAAAAGCACTGTATAGAAACTGGCACATAGTAGGTGCTCAACAAAGTTTTGAAAAAAATAGCAAGAAGGTTCTAGGACAAAAAGTGAGAGAATAAGGGTGGAGTGGCCCTGAAGAGGAGGAGAGGTGATAAAACATGCTTCATCGCCTTAACCATTTTTTCCAAATACAGCTCTGCTGAGGCCTCAAGGTCTTTGCCCTCTTCCTGTAACTTTTGGTCAAAAAGTTATAGAGACCTAAGGGAGTGTAACAGACTGTGGGTTCAGCCTTTTGGTAAGTAGGGGGTGGATGGGCAAATGAAAAGATGAGGAAATGGAAGGATGGACGGATGGATGGATGGACACCAAACACCGTGAGAGCCCGCTTTAGCTCAGAAGAGAGGAGCAGCTGACCCTAATTCTCATCACCTCTGCCTCCCAGGACTCATCCGATGATGTGAGGAAGGTTCAGAGAAGGGAGAAAAATCGCATTGCTGCCCAGAAGAGCCGACAGAGGCAGACACAGAAAGCTGACACCCTGCACTTGGTGAGTGTTCAGACATTTCTTCATTCTCTTGAGTTTTAGGCTTTGCCCCTACCATCGATGGGTGCTTGGACCATGGCTTTGAATCTGCCAGTGTGGGGATGTGGATGTGGATGTTGGGGAAGGAAGTGGAGGAGTGAGGGCTGTAGGGTGAGTTGGGGAAGGAGGCTCCCCTATGAGTGAATTGAGAAGATTCTGGCAGAGAATGAGCCAGAGGCTGAAAGAGTCTTCCTGACTCCTGAGAGGGGTGAATGAGTTGAGTATGGGAAACCCAAAGGCTGAATGGAAGGCAGAAGCACCTGCTCAGAGGTGTGATAGCCAGAGAGAACTCCATCCCTCATGAGCCTAGAGAGTAGAAAGCAAGACTGTCTTTGGGAAGAATTTAGAAAGTGTGAAGGACTTTGCGGGGAGCCCAATATGCCGCAGTGCTAGGTCTCATACAGTCCCATCCCTCCAGAAGCCAACCTGGGCCACAGAGTGCTGTACCTTACTCCTCTTTTCTGCACATCGTTAAGGTTTTATTTTGAATTTTTTAAATATTTAATGATATCCTAATGTATCTGTGCAAATGTGGTTTCAAGTGTACTTATCTGGGATGGTCACCACACTGGTTGAGTTATCTCCAATCACAAACTTTCTAGAGAAGCCTTGACCCCTGACTTGAGCAGGGGCCCTGTGCAAAGGCTGAAGTGCACTTCCAACGGCAGCCCAAGGCCCTAATTGGCGTTTCTAAATTCTGGCTGTGCGCTTCATCAGGCGATGCTCTTTGTCTCCCATATCTTACCACCTTACCATCACCTCTCTCATCACTTTGCCTTTTAATTTGGTTCTTGTTCAACCAGCTCTTACTTCACTGGCTCCTTCCCCTTCCATCCCCTCATCTCTTCTTCTAGCAACTGCCTTTCTGTCCTGCTTCCTGAACCATTCTCAAACCTCCAGCATCCTAGCAATTCATTTCAATGGTAAAAAGAGCAATTGGCATCCAAAATGAATATGCTTATGTTTATTTGAAGGATTAGCATGAAAAACAGCCAGTTAAAATAGTTGTTTTAATCTCATCAAGAAAAAGTGAGATGTCTATATGGTATCAGATGGGTACTAGACTCATCGGGGTGATCACTTCATAAGGTATATAAATGTCTAATCACTATACTATACACCTGAAACTAATACAAAGTTGTTTGTCAACTGCAATTTAAAAGTAAATTTACAAAAAATTAAAAGTAGGATGTCATTTTAGAAAAAAGAAGCTTCTTGTTTGTAAGGAAGCAGAGAGCAGGCTACACCAACATCTCTGATTGGATGTTTGTGTTTTATTTGAAAGATATTCAACATATCTTCCATTACATACTAAATAGTTTTAAGTTCATAAGTATTTGTTGAATTGAACAACAGTGAATGACCAGCAAGTCTGTTCTTCTCTTTGATAACTGTGATCGGCAGTCTAAATGTTAAGCTGTTGGTGGCTTTGCTACTTACATGTTCTCCATGATTTCATCATGGCTTACTGTCTCATAATACTCTGGTTTACTATTTTAAGCTTGAAAATCTATGATCACTCACTTTGCCTCCATCAGAGTCTTATTCTAATTCAATATTCCTTAGAGCAAGCCAATGGACAAAGAAATACAAATTAGAAAGGATAAAACCTTCCTTTTTTGTGCAAGTAGACAATGTTGTGAGACTGGAAAACCACTATAAGCTTTTAAGTTTGTAATTCTTTTTTTATGTGGAAACTTAGTATAGCTCAGCAGCTCTGCAGTCAGAACAACAGGGTTTGAATCCCAACTCTCCTGCTTGCTGTCTGTGTGACAGACCTTAGGGACATTCTTAACCTCCCGTAGACTTGGTTTCTGTATCTATAAAATGGGAAATTACTGTAATTACATTATAGAATAGTCCATATAAAGATATCAGCACAATGCCTGGCACAAAACAAATATTTTGAAATTTTAAGTATAATAAGAGTACTATTAATAATAGTTATTATTATAAGAAACAAAATAAATAATCACAAATAAAATTTCATATATATATATTTATATCTCACAGAATCTTGGGGCTGAAAGATTTCTTAAAGGCTGGAATGTTCAGACACACTTTTGATGCTCTAGACTCCTCTCCTACACTCTGCCACCATGAAAATTGTCCCCGACTTACTCCTGGTCACTTCCAGTGACAGAGAGCTTTCTCCCTCCTAACATGAACAAATGAGTTGTCCCTATCTTGAGCTGCACTCCTGTCTCTCTGCACATTTAGCCCACTGGTCTTTATTCAACCCCTTGGGTACATGTCAGTGACAGGGATATGTATGTTTCTTTGCTGTGGCAGGTTTTCAACTCTGACTCAGTTGTATCCCTCTATAAGACAAGAGTTAGAACCAAAAGATTTAGTCCATCTGGTTATACTAGTCATGACTAGAGTGGGATAATCTCTGGGGCTTGGAGTCCATGAAGCCCCCAGTCCTGTAGTCACCGCCTCCACACCTACACCCCCAGCCTCAGTCTCTGGAATGTTCCCATCTTCCTCACTCCTGGACACAAACTCTTCCCTACTCCTTTCTTTTCAGCACCACATGGTTCATCTTCACTTTTTGCCCAGTGACGAGATCACATCAGAGTTTACACAGCAAGCCTGGGGATTGCAGCCAATGCAACTTGTGTTTCCCGACTTTAGGGAGAAGCTTCTGGCAGCAACATATCAATCTGCCGCCATCAAACAGAGGGTTTGGCTGTGGTCTGAAATGTTCATTTCCTCTCAGACAGTAATCACCTATCTTCTCTATCCATTAGCCCCTCAATTATGTTTGTGATTCAGGTAGAAAATCTTCTGGTTTACCACCAACATTCTTAGGGTTGAGTGCTTGCTTTGTTCTTGACTCCTTTTCATGCTCAGCTCCACATGCTGAGGTTCTGGAACCATTCCCCAGTCCTCAGACATAGCTCTAGGACTCATCTACCAAATACGCTAACGACCAGGGTTTAGAAGCTACTGAGAGTGCAATATGAAAGCAGGACCACATTTGTATTAGTGTGCTAGCCTCATACAAGCTGCCATAATGTTGTTTTCTCAATTTCAACTTTATCACTATTATCTCTCTTAAAATACCAAAAGAATTATCGTGTTTCTCCAGTGAGATTGTGGATACTTACTATTTCACATTTTTCATATCTATCCTATAAGCAATTTGCACCAAACACCGTATACTGATTGCTTTTAAAATAGCAGAGTGGGGAAAGACCCTTTTTCAATGATTGTGTTTAATCTCATGCCAGTGTTACAACATCCCGGCATTGACTATCCCTCACATAAGCTAATTCAAGTGCTTCTTTTCATAATATCAACAGAGTCCACATTCTGTTTTACTTCTCTTTTTTTGGGGTGTCTCACACAGCACACATCACACTTAGTTCTTTTCCCACAGACAACTGTAGAGCCTGTTAGGCATAGTAAAAGCATTACTTAAAAAGGAGAAAGGAGTATCTTGACTAGTTCATCTTCAAACAAATCAGTAAGTAATAGATGGATCCAAGACAATCATCTGAAAAAGTACTAAAAATAATAAGAGAATCCAGTAGGCTTTCAGAGTTAACACAAAAAGTAATAACTTTCCTATATGTAAACCATAACCAAGGAGAAAATTTATGAACCTCGAGATAATCGTGCTAAGCAAAATGAGCCAGACAGAAAAAGTTGAAAATCACATGATATCACTTATATGTAAGATATAAACCTAAAAGCAACAAATGAACAGGACAAACAGAGACTCACAGACATGGACAATAGACTAGTGATTACTAGAGGGCGTGGGGAGGGGGGAGGTAGGTGGAGGGAAAGGGGTCAAATATGTGGTGACATTAAAGGATTAAAAATAAATTAATTAATTAAAAAAAGAATATTTAATAGAAGGGAAGATTTAAATCTTTTATTCTAAGTGACTTAAAAAACATTCAACTAAATAGAAAGGTATACCTAATATAAAGACAGCAATTTTATTAAATTAATCTAGAATTTAATTTAATGTGATCCCAATAAAAACCCAATAGAACTTTCTGGGATTTGGGGGAGAACTAGATTAGCTATTCTAAGTTCCCAGTGAAAAAGAACCATGTGAGAGTTTCCAGAAAAATTCTAAAGAAGGAGAGTAACGAGAGAAAATTAGTTGAACAAGATATTAAAGTAAATTACAAATATATAAATAAAAACAATATGGAGAAGACAAAACATTGGATAGAATAGAATACAGAAAGAGACCCAAAAGCAAAATCAAATTTAAGTACCAAATACATGTCAATATGTCAATCCCTAAGACACAAGTTCAAATGCAAAATGACTAGGATGGCATTTCAGTGAGTGAAAGCTGAATTATTCAATAAACAGAGTTGGGACAACTGGCTAGCCATTTGGGGGGGAAAGAAAGCTAGCTTCTTTATTTCTTATATAACACACACAGATTAAATGTAAAAAAAGAAAAAGAAAACTAAAGAAATTTGGGGGGGAAATGAACATTAAAAAATTTATCTTGGAATGGAGTCTTTTCCAGATAAAATAAGAAACCTTGAAACTATAAAAAGTTTATACATTACCTTTATACATAAAAAGTGAAGTTTTCTATGCAGCTCAAAATACTATATGCAAGATCAAAGACAAATGACAGATTGGGGAAAAATATCTGCAACACATATGACCAAAAAAGGGCATATTTTTTTAACATATGAGAGCTCTTATTAGTAAGAAAATAATTATAAAAACCCAAAGAAAAATGAATGGTGATTTGGAATAGGGTTTTTTATTTATTTATTTTTTTACAAAAAGAGAGAAGAAATAAATAGCAAATAAACGTGGAAAAGATGAAATGAGGATTAAGGCAACATGAGAGTCCCCAGCCAGATTGGCAAAGACGAAAATATTGCTAACACACGACGTTGCTAAGGCAGTGGAGAAGCACACCACACAGTACCATTAGGGGTATATGTCAGTACAGCTCCAGGAGAGGGCAATTT